GTTTTAACCTGTATTTTTGGGCTTGTCCCCTTATAAGCCGCCCTGAGTCCCTTCAAGGAGATGGTGGAGGGGTATAAAAATAAATAATAAAGTTGTTGTTGTTGTTACACTGGAACTATACCATTGACTATTCCCCCTTATTTACATACATGGTGTATATATGGACAGTCTACAGACGTCACACGCAACTCCTGGAACGATTCCATCAGCGCTGCCTCCAAAAAATCCTGCAAATCTCTTGGGAAGACAAGCAGAGAAACATCAGCGTGCCGGAAGAAGCAATGACCACCAGCATTGAAGCGATGGTCCTCCGCCATCAACTCTGCTGGACTGGCCACATTGTCCGGATGCCTGACCACCGTCTCTCAAAGCAGTTGCTCTACTCCGAACTCAAGAACGGAAAACGGAATGTTGGAGGACAGGAAAAGAGATTGAAAGATGGTCTTAAAGCCAACCTTAAAAACTCTGGCATAGACACTGAGAACTGGGAAGCCCTGGCCCTTGAGCGCTCCAGCTGGAGGTCAGCTGTAACCAGCAGTGCTGTAGAATTTGAAGAGGCACGAATGGAGGGTGAAAGAGAGAAACGTGCCAAGAGGAAGGCGTGTCAAGCCAACCCCGACCGGGACCACCTTCCACCTGGAAACCGATGCCCTCACTGTGGGAGAAGATGCAGGTCAAGAAGAGGGCTCCACAGTCACCTACCCCGAGGTGGAGAGTTCCACTGTTGAACAGCTCTTCAGAAAGTTCTTCCTAATGTTCAGGTGGAGCTTTCTTTCCTGCCATTTGAAACTATTGCTCCAAGTAGGAGACAGCCAGCCTGATCCCTTTTCCTTACAAACCCAAGATGTCTGTGTGGGTTCCAGAAGATCAAGGGCCAGGCCCGTAGCCAGGATTTCGTTTCGGGGGGGGGGCTAAAAAATTTTCAGGGGGGGTTTTGGGGGGGGGCTGAGTTTCGGGGGGGGCTGAGTCTGAGTGAAAGAGGGTCTAGCCTAGCAAACCTTTTGTATCATTACCCCAATACCCCCATACATATGGGATATATTGAGAATGGTGATCAAATCATGATATTAATAAACATAACAGTTTAAATAATGCACCAGTAAGGCCTTTTCGCGAACCACCATGAGAATTTCGGGGGGGGCTGAAGCCCCCCGAGCCCCCCCCCCCCGGCTACATGCCTGTCAAGGGCTGAACTATCATAGAACTAGAAGAGACCACAACTGGGATTCTGTTAAACCCATTACAAAGCCCTGGAACTGAACAGGGATCTTTGGGACCTGCAAATGCATTTAGGTGAATTAACTGTGGGACTGTGGCACAGCTGTTTGAGTGTCAGCTGCAGTAAGATCACTTCTGACCAAAAGGTCATGAGTTCGAAGCCAGCCCGGGTTGGAGTGAGCTTCTGACCAATTGTGTAGCTTGCTCTCGACCTTTGCAACCCAAAAGACAGTTGCATCTGTCAAGGAGGAAAAGTAGGTACCACCTATGTGTGGGGAGGCTAATTAAACTAATTTACGAGGCCATAAAAAAGACTCCAGCAAAAGCATGCGGGGAATGCGGAGGTACTTCATCAGTGTCACAGATGGATGATGAAAGCGACAGTTCCCCTGGCAGCCAGAAAAAGTTAAATAGCCTCTGACTGTCTGTCTATATCTGTTGTGTGTCTTTGGCATTGAATGTTTGCCATATATGTGCACATTGCAATCTGCCCTGAGTCCCCTGCGGAGTGAGAAGGGCGGAATAGAAATACTGTAAATAAATAAATAATAAATAAATTAACTTGTTGATTTGTTTGCTACCTGGCAGCGGAAGTTGCCTGGCTATGGCTGGAGCAGCACTGAGGGCAATCCCACGCTGCCATCATCAACCACCTGCTGATTTTAGATGGCCTTTTGGACTAGGAAAGGAAAACTGAAGAACTCAGGTAATGCAATTTACCTGGGGTGCTGGCTGAGCCAATCCCAAAACTCTCTCTTGGAGAAGTCAGCATGAGGATCCTCTGCCTCTGGGATGGACCGCTTGACCATCTTGGACTGCCTGGGGAAAAGGAGAAGGAAGCACCTGAATATTGCATAGAAGCAGAGTTCAGCATGAATATAGTTCAATGGCATTAATTATTTATTATTTATTGATTTGGGGCTTTTATATTGATTTCGGGCATTTATATTTATTATTTATTTATTTCGGGTTTTCTTAGGCAAGGAATGGCATGGGCATTCCTTGCTTAAGAAAACTCAATTGCATTAATGTCATCATTATAAGCCAGTGTTTCTCAACCTTCCTAATGCTGTGACCCCTTAACACAGTTCCTCATGTTGTGGTGACCCCCAACCATCACATTATTTTTGTTGCTACTGGAATTTTGCTCCTGTGATGAATTGTCATGTAAATGCAATTCATCACAGGATGTATTTTCATTCACTGGACCAAATTTGGCACAAACACCCAATACACACAATTTTGAATACAGGTGGGGTTTGGGGGGAATTGATTTTGTCATTTGGGAGTTTTAGTTGCTGGGATTTATAGTTCGCCTTCAATCAAAGAGCATTCTGAACTCCATCAACGATGGAATCGAACCAAACGTGAAAAACGCTACTCGCATGACCAGCAGAAAATACTGGAAGGGTTTGGTGGACGTTGACCTTGAGTTTGGGAGTTGTAGTTCACCTACATCCAGAGAGCACAGTGGACTCAAACAATGATAGATCTGGACCAAACTTGGCACAAGCACTCAATATGCCCAAATATGAACACTGGTGGTGTTTGGGGAAAATAGACCTTGACATTTGGGAGTTGTAATTGCTGGGATTTATAGTTCACCTACAATCAAAGAGCATTCTGAGCTCCACCAATGATGGAATTGAACCAAACCTGAAACACACAACTCCCATGAGCAACAGAAAATAAGGGAAGGGCTTAGTGGACGTTGACCTTGAGTTTTGGAGTTATAGTTCACCTACATGAAGAGAGCACTGTGGACTCAAACAATGATGGATCTGGACCAAACTTGGCACGAATACTCAATATACCCTCATGTGATCACTGGTGGAGTTTGGGGAAAATAGATGTTGACATTTGGAAGTTGTAGTTACTGGGATTTATAGTTCACCTACAATCGAAGAGCATTCTGAACTCCATCAACGATGGAATTGAACCAAACTTGGCACACACAACTCCAATGAGCAACAGAAAATAAGGGAAGGGTTTGGTGGCATTGACCTTGAGTTTGGGAGTTGTAGTTCATCTACATCCAGAGAGCACTGTGGCCTCAAACAATGATGGATTTGGACAAAACTTGGCACAAATACTCAATATGCCCAAATGTGAACACTGGTGGTGTTTGGGGAAAACAGACTGTGATATTGGGAAGTTGTAGTTGCTGGGATTTATAGTTCACCTACAATCAAAGAGCATTCTGAACTCTACCAACGATGGAATTGAACCAAATTTGACACACAGAACCCCCATGACCAATAGAAAATACTGCTTTCTGATGGTCTTCGGTGCCCCCTTTGACACCCCCTCATGACCCCCCCAGCGCATACTGACCCCCAGGTTGAGAAACAGTGCTATAAGCCAACAAGGACCTACGGTAGTCAGTCCTTGACACTTCAGGCCATGGTGTCATTCAATGGCTGTGATACCAAAGGATGGCTTCCTAGCAACATTAGGTGTCCAAATCTCAGGCATGGGCCAACTTGGTCCCTCCAGGTGTTTTGGACTTCAACTCCCACAATTCCTAACAGCCGGTAGGCTGTTAGGAATTGTGGGAGTTGAAGTCCAAAACACCTGGAGGGACCAAGTTGGCCCATGTCTGTCCTACAACATATAAGAAAATTGGGAAGCCAGTAATTTCACATTGTCTAAAGTATGATAACCTCTGTTGAATAGTTTTGGCTGCTAGGAAGAGAGTAGTTTATACGCAAAGAACGCCAAGAAAAGAGATTTGCCTAATATGATCAGACCACCATTTCACACGCCGATAAGCAGTTCTCTCCGGGCTCATGCATATTTGTAATTATTTGCTCTCCAAGTTTCCTCCCACACCTTTCATTCCGCAACGGGTTATTAAATTTCATAACCTCAAGTAAGCAAACGCAGACGCTCCTCTTGCAGATCCGAGAGAGAGATCAACAGGGAAGGAAGGCACTGCAATTAGTTTATTGCTCGGAGGATCGGCTCTGGCTTGCCGTTCCTTCAGCCTTTGCCAATTTCCTTCTTCCTCCCGGTGTTCTTTGAAGTTGACAAATTAATATTTAATCTTTGTGGTTTGCATGGGTGGTATTTGCCATTTAAATGTATGTTTTACCTTCCCACCCCGGAGTCCTTTTTATGGGGCACAAAGTTCATGGAGGAAGCAGAACATGACCCCGAAAACTAGTTTTGAATAAACATGTTTATACGTATTTACTGAGGCGATTCCTCGTTGGCCGAGTAGGATAGTCTTCCAGGAGCAGTATTCTGGTGGCTCCGTTGGGGACTGTGGAGCCCTATTCTTGACCTGCATCTTCTCCCGCAGTGAGGGCATTGGTTTCCAGGTGGAAGGCGGTCTCGGTCGGGGTTGGCTTGACGTGCCTTCCTCTTGGCACGTTTCTCTCTTTCGCCCTCCATTCATGCCTCTTCAAATTCTGCAGCACTGCTGGTCACAGCTGACCTCCAGCTGGAGTGCTCAAGGGCCAGGACTTCCAAGTTCTCAGTGTCTATGCCAGAGTTTTTAAGGTTGGCTTTGAGCCCAACTTTAAATCTCTTTTCCTGCCCACCAATATTCTGTTTTCCGTTCTTGAGTTTGGAGTAGAGCAACTGCTTTGGGAGACAGTGGTCAGGCATCTGGACAACGTGGCCGGTCCAGTAGAGTTGATGGCAGAGGAGCATCGCTTCAATGCTGGTGGTCTTTGCTTCTTCCAGCACGCTGACATTTGTCCATTTGTCTTCCCAAGAGATTTGCAGGATTTTCCGGAGGCAGGGCTGATGGAATCATTCCAGGAGTTGCAGAAAGTCCACGTCCCACAGGCATATAGCAGGGTTGGGAAGGGAATGGCTTTATAAACAAGCACCTTGGTATCCCTATGGATGTCCCAGTCCTCAAACACTCTCTGCTTCATTCGGAAAAATGCTGCGCTCGCAGAGCACAGGCGGTGTTGTATTTCGGTGTCAATGTTGACTTTGGTGGAGAGGTAGTTGCCAAGGTAGTGGAAATGGTCCACATTTTCTAATGTTATACCATTAAACTGTATCTCTGGCATTGGAAAGGGGTTGGCTGGTGACTGCTGGAAGAGCACTTTGGTTTTCTTGATGTTCAGTGACAGGTCGAGCTTCTCATATGCATCTGCAAAGGTGTTGAGAGTGGCTTGTAGGTCTTTTTCTGAATGCGCACATGTTTATATTCCCACCTGGAACTACTCTTAGGCTGCTATAGCCATTTTCAGGTTCTCTTTTTTTCCGAGGGGAGGCAGGCAAAGGGCTCTAAACTGACATGCAGTTGGATGCATTTAGTTTAGAAAAGAACATTGAATGCAAGATCTATGAAGAACTGTCACAGTGTGGAAGGTAGATTTTCACAGCTTGATCAAGAACAGTTTAGAAATAGAATAGCATCCTAGCTTTTTTAAAATGTTATTCCTATGGGGAAAAGGGGTTTGCCCGTACCTCGTGAAATCTGATTTGGCCATGACGGTCCATGCCCTAGTCACCTCTAGGTTGGATGACTGCAACGCTTCTATTCAAGATGCTCAGCAGTGGCTTCATCGAAATAGGTTTTCTCAGTTCTGTAGACTCAATAGAGTTGAAGTCCAAAACACCTGGAGGGACCAAGTTGGCCCATGCCTCAGATTTGGACATCTAATGTTGCTAGGAAGCCATCCTTTGGTATCACAGTCATTAAATGACACTGTGGCCTGAAATGTCAAGGACTGACCACCGTAGGTCCTTGTTGGCTTATAGCACTGTTTCTCAATCTGGGGTTCAGTATCCCTGGGGGGGTCATGAGGGGGTGTCAGAGGGGGCGCTGAAGACCATCAGAAAACAATATTTTCTGTTCGTCCTGGGGGTTCTGTGAGGGAAGTTTGGCCCAATTCCATCGTTGGTATTTATTTATTTATTTATTACTTTGCTTATATACCGCTGTATCTCAAGCCCGAAGGCGACTCACAGCGGTTCACAAACAGTAGAAACAGTAGAAACAGCAGTGGTTCCATACAACATATAACAATTGACTTAACACATTATCCATAAATTACCAATAAGCAATTACAATGCACAATTATTACGAAAAACAACCGTACCCAATCTTCTCATCATCCAAGCGTAGTCCAGGTTCGTCGTCCATTGTTCCATTCCTATGTTCCATTACCAGATTGCACTAAATTACTCAAACGCCTGCTCAAACAGCCAGGTCTTCACTTTCCTGCGGAATACCATTAGAGATGGTGCTAGTCTAATGTTCGTAGGAAGGGCGTTCCACAGCCGAGGAGCCACCACCGAGAAGGACCTATCTCTCGTCCCCGCCAGCCGTGCTTGAGAAGCAGGCGGGATCGAGAGCAGGGTCTCCCCGGAAGATCTCAAAGTCCTGGTGGGTTCATAGGCAGAGATGCGGTCAGATAGGTAGCTTGGGCCGGAACCGTTTAGGGCTTTAAAGGCCAACGCCAGCACTTTGAATTCAGCCCGGTAGCAGATCGGTAGCCAGTGGAGTTGGCGCAACAGGGGGGTTGTGTGCTCCCTGCGCTCCGCTCCTGTTAAAATCATGGCTGCCGAGCGTTGGACTAGTTGGAGCTTCCGAGCTGTCTTCAAAGGCAACCCCACGTAGAGATGTTCAGATGTTGGTAGAGTTCAGAATGCTCTTTGATTGTAGGTGAACTATAAATCCCAGCAACTACAACTTCCAAATGTCAAGGTCTATTTCCCTTGAAGACGGCCCGGAAACTACAGTTTGTCCAAAGATCTGCGTCCAGACCTGTAAAACCCTAAACGGTTTGGGGCCTGCTTATCTTCTTGGTCGCATCTTCCCCTATGAACCAGTGGTACCTTGAGATCATCCGGGGAGGTACTGCTCTCTCTTCCTCTGCCATCTCAAACACGGTTGGTGGGGATGAGGGAGAGGGCCTTCTCGGTTTTGGCCCCCCAACTCTGGAACTCCCTCCAGAGAGTTTAGACAGGCTCCTACTTTGTCCTTTTTCCAGACACAACTAAAAACCTGGATGTTCCGGTGTGATTTTGATTAAGCAGTCCACCAGTAATTTCCCTGTCCCTACTTTAAGTTTCACCTGTCCTCTGTGGGATGTGGGAAGACACAAGCTACCACATTCTCACAACTTCAGTTTCGGTCTGCCACCTGCTGGTGACTTCTGCCTATGGGCTCATGTTTTGAACATTGATGTTAACACAATCAAAATCTAGCTTGCTAATTTCACCCTTTACGCTTAGTTAACTGACAATGGTTCTTTCTCTCACCCTGGACATTATTCCACAGGTATATTACTGCATATATTCTAGTATAAGCCTAGTTTTTCAGCCCCCTTTTTTAGGCTGAAAAAGTCCCCCTCGACTTATACTCACGTCAAGGTTATTTATTATTTAATTCTGTTCTCATTATTATTTTATTACATTTATTATTTTAATCTATTTGTTATTATTACCGTGCTCTGACCTACAAGAAGCACTGCCTGAATATCAAGCAAAAAGTGGGTGCTAGAAACAATATCATACAAAAGCTGACTGGCACAACCTGGGGATCACAACCAGACACAGTGAAGACATCTGCCCTTGCGCTATGCTACTCTGCTGCTGAGTACGCATGCCCAGTGTGGAACACATCTCACCACACTAAAACAGTGGATGTGGCTCTGAATGAGACATGCCGCATTATCACGGGGTGCCTGCACCCTACACCACTGGAGAAATTACACTGTTTAGCCGGAAGTGCACCACCTGACATCCTCCGGGAAGGAGCAGCCAATAGTGAAAGGACCAAGGCAGAGACATCTCCAGCTCATCCCTTGTTTGGGTATCAACCAGCATGTCAATGACTTAAATCAAGAAATAGTTTTCTAAGATCTACAGAGTCACTCGCTTGAACATCTCAGCAAGTGAGAGTTCAAAAGTGGCAGGCTCAAACCAGTCCCCCCTGGGCACACAGAAGACTGGACGACTTGGAAGGCGCTGAACGGACTGCGCTCTGGCACCACGAGATGCAGAGCCAACCTCAAGAAATGGGGCCACAAAGTGGGATCCACAACATGCGAGTGCGGAGAAGAGCAAACCACTGACCACCTGCTGCAATGCACCCTGAGCCCTGCTACATGCACATTGGAGGACCTTCTCACAGCAACACCAGAGGCTCTCCAAGTGGCCAGATACTGGTCAAAGGACATCTAATCAACTACCAAGCTTGCAAACTTTGTGTTTTGTCTGTCTGTTTGTTTGTTTTGTTAAAAATGTAATACAAATGTCTGGTTGCTCCTGACACGATAAATAAATAAATTTTATCATGAGCGTGTTGAGCACTATTTCAGTAAACGGGATGAAACGCACGGGATCAGCCTCTTCGCTTCGAAAAACAGGGTCACATGCGGATGTTTTTGTGTTCTCTTGGGCTCTGTCCAGGTTTGCATCCTGAGCCCTGCCACATGCACCATGGAGGACCTTCTTGCGGCAACACCAGAAGCACTCCAAGTGGCCAGAGACTGGTCAAATGACATTTCATCAACTACCAAACTTGCAAAATTTGTATTGTGTCTGTCTGTTTGTTTGTTTGTTTTGTTCTGTTGGAAATGTAATACAATTGACTGGTTGCCCTGACACGCCAAATAAATAAATCTGCTTTGAATTGGATGATATGACAGTGTAGATTAAGATAATCCAGTTCAAAGCAGATCATGTGGATTTTCTGCTTTGATCACCTGGGAATTGTGGGAGTTGAAGTCCAAAACACCTGGAGGGCTGAGGTTTGCCCATGCCTGATGTAGACGCATCCCCGGGATTTGTCAAAGAGTAAACCTATATGTATGATGTGTTCCAAAGCCAATGTGATTTGTCAAAAAAAAGGTGTGAATTACAGTGCCTTCATGCAACCATTGATAAACCTTGGGGGTGAGAAGGGTGGGGTATAAATATAGGAAATAAAATAAATAAATAACCAAAACATCCAAATGCAAACAATGGACTAATATATATATATATATATATATATAGAGAGAGAGAGAGAGAGAGAGAGAGAGAGAGAGAGAGAGAGAGTCCATTGTTTGCATTTGGATGTTTTGGTTATTTATTTATTTTATTTATCTCTATATATAAAAATGCTCTGTGCATAATGAGTACCTTAAAAACAAAAGAACCAATGAACGAAATCAAACCAAATTTGGCAACATAACGTCTCACAACACAAGGAGTGACCAGCACTCCAAAAATTATGATTTTGTCATTTGGGAGTTGTAGTTGCTGAGATTTATAGTTCACCTACAATCAAAGAGCATTCTGAACTCCACCTACAATGGAATTGAACCAAACTTAGCACATGGAACTCCCATGACCAACAGAAAACACTAGAAGGGTTTGGTGGCATTGACCTTGAGTTTGGGAGTTGTGGTTCACGTACATCCAGAGAGCACTGTAGACTCAAACAATGACGGATCTGGACCAAACTTGGCATGGATACTCAATATACCCAAATGTGAACACAGATGGAGTTTGGGGGAAATAGACCTTGACATTTGGGAGTTGTAGTTGCTGGGATTTATAGTTCACCAGTGATATAACTGGGCCAAACCTCCCATGTGGGCCACAGCAACGCATGTCAGGGGATGGCTAGTATATATATATATATATATATATATATATATATATATATATAGTGACAAAAAGACCTAATTCTGGGCATCACTGGGTACCTAATCTAGTAGTTAGTTACAAATAAGAATAAATTAATACATTTCCTCCGGGAGTGACTGGAAGAAGATACTTACTTTGCAAAGGGCAACAGAGGAGTGTCTTCTGCTTCATCCATCTTGCAAAGACTTGCGCTTTTCACCTTTTATTTTGTGGCTCTAAAATAAATAAAAGATAATAACGATGATGATGATGATGATGATGATGATGATGATGATGATACCATCAAAGCCAGAACTGAAAAGTCAACGACAGATCTCAAGTGTAAACAAAATGGCGCCTCTCTCTCTCTCTCTCTCTCAACTTGGCATCTTTCTCAAAATGGCGGCAATTTCGCCAATGCTTCCTTCATTGAGAGGAAGTCAGAAATGGACATTGACGGTTTTGAACTGGATTATATGGCAGTGTGGAGTCATATAATCCAGTTCAAAGTCTCTGAGGCAAAGCTCAAGGCACAAAATGGCGTCTCTCTCTCTCAACATGGCGGCAATGTCACCAGTGCTTCTTTCATTGAGGGGAAGTCAGAGATGGACATTGACAGTTTTGAACTGGATTATATGGCAGCGTGGACTCATATAATCCAGTTCAAAGTCTCTGAGGCAAGGCTCAAGACACAAATGGCATCTCTCTCTTTCAAGATGATGTCTCTCTCAAAATGGCGGCAATGTCGCCAATGCTTCCTTCATTGAGGGGAAGTCAGAGATGGACATAGACTGTTTTGAACTGGATTCTATGGCAGCGTGGAGTCATATAATCCAGTTCAAAGTCTCTGAGGCAAGACTCAAGGCACAAAATGGCGTCTCTCTCTCTCTGAACATGGCACAAAATGGCGTCTCTCTCTCTCAAGATGGCGTCTCTCTCAAAATGGCGGCAATGTTGCCAATGCTTCCTTCATTGAGGGGAAGTCAGAGATGGACATTGACGGTTTTGAACTGGATTATATGGCAGCGTGGAGTCATATAATCCAGTTCAAAGTCTCTGAGGCAAGGCTCAAGGCGCAAAATGGCGTCTCTCTCTCTCAAGATGGCATCTCTCTCAAAATGGCGGCAATGTCGCCAATGCTTCCTTCATTGAGGGGAAGTCAGAGATGGACATTGACTGTTCTAAACCGGATTCTATGGCAGTGTGGACACATATAATCCAGTTCAAAGTCTATGAGGTAAGACTCAAGGCACAAAATGGCGTCTCTCTCTCTCTCAACATGGTGTCTTTCTCAAAATGGTGGCAATGTCACCAATGCTTCCTTCATTGAGGGGAAGTCAGAGATGGACATTGACTGTTTTGTACAGGATTCTATGGCAGTGTGGACTCATATAATCCAGTTCAAGGTCTATGAGGTAAGACTCAAGGCACAAAATGGCGTCTCTCTCTCTCAACATGGTATCTCTCTCAAAATGGCAGCAATGTCGCCAATGCTTCCTTCATTGAGGGGAAATCAGAGATGGACATTGACTGTTCTAAACTGGATTCTATGGCAGTGTGGACTCATATAATCCAGTTCAAAGTCTCTGAGGCAAGTCTCAAGGCACAAAATGGCGTCTCTCTCTCAACATGGCGGCAATGTCACCAATGCTTCCTTCATTGCGGGGAAGTCAGAGATGGACATTGACTGTTCTGAACTGGATTCCATGGCAGCGTGGACTCATATAATCCAGTTGAAAGTCTCCGAGGCAAGGCTCGAGGCAGAAAATGGCGTCTCTCTCTTTCAAGATGGCATCTCTCTCAAAATGGCGGCAATGTCGCCAATGCTTCTTTCATTGAGGGGAAGTCAGAGATGGACATTGACTGTTTTGAACTGGATTATATGGCCGTGTGGACTCATATAATCCAGTTCAAAGTCTCTGAGGCAAAGCTCAAGACACAAATGGCGTCTCTCTCTTTCAAGATGACGTCTCTCTCAAAATGGCGGCAATGTCGCCAATGCTGCCTTCATTGAGGGGAAGTCAGAGATGGACATTGATTGTTCTAAACTGGATTATATGGCAGTGTGGACACATAATCCAGTTCAAAGCAGATAATGTGTGTGATCTGCTTTGATAATCTGGATGATGTGGCAGTGTAGAAGGCATTTTATTTATTTGGGTTTGAAATCAGGGTCAAGTTCGAGAATAAGGCCATTTTAAATAATTATTTAAAGAGGTGTCTGCTTTAAAAAGGCAAATTTATGAGCAAAAATGTAAATGGCATTGAAAGTGTGCTTTGCAGATTAATTAATAAAGGGAAATAAAAGAGAAACAATACATGAGCAATGCTAAAAATAATGGATGATTCATAGAATTCACAAGGTTTAGGGTCTCTCTGCGGAACAATATATGTTATTCTAGGAGTCAGGGCTGCCAGCCTCCACATGATCTGCTTTGAACTGGAATATATGAGTCTACACTGCCATATAATCCAGATTATAGATTTGAGCTACAAACACCCTCCATTTTGGAAAGATTTTGTGGTGATTTTCCTCACAGATTTCTCGAAATTACCTCAGGAGGTTAACTTTAATGTCAAAGGGAGACGTTCTCACATTAGGGCTTTAAAGCAGGCAGCTTTGCATTCTGGGAGATGTAGTTTGAGAAGGCAAGGACCCTTGTTGCCCAGCATTGAAAAAGGCCCTGCCCTGAACTACATTTCCCAGAGTGCTGCGGGGCTGCCTGATTCAAGCCCTGAAGGTTATAATTGCTGCCAGAGGAAAAAAGGCGGGAAAATGGCAAATGGGATTATGAGGCAAAATGGAGGGCCCAAGTTTGCCCACGATGGCTTTAAACTATTTGAAATGACAGGGAATTATTATGAAGGCATCCCTTATAGATTTCAGATACAAACGCCCTCCATTTTGGAAAGATTTTGTGGTGATTTTCCTCACAGATTTCCTGAAATGACCTCAGGAGGTTAACTCTAATGTCAAAGGGAGATGTTCTCACATTAGGGCTTTAAAGCCATTTTGGGAAGGTTTTGTGGTGATTTTCCTCACTCCTGAGGTTTCTACCATAAAGTCAGTATGAAATATAAACAGTACAAAAAAATCACAGTTAAAATCCATTAAACCATATTAAAAGACTGCATCTAGACTGTCAATTTAATGCAGTTTGATACCAGTTTAATCATAGAGTTGGAAGAGACCTCCTGGGCCATCCAGTCCAACCCCATTTTGCCAAGAAGCAGGAATATTGCATTCAAACCACCCCTGATAGATGGCCATCCAGCCTCTGCTTAAAAGCTTCCAAAGAAGGAGCCTCCACCACACTCCCTCCGGGGCAGAGAGTTCCACTGCTGAACGGCTCTCACAGTCAGGAAGTTCTTCCTCATGTTCAGATGGAATCTCCTTTCTTATAGTTTGAAGCCATTGTTCCATTGCGTCCTAGTCTCCAGGGCAGCCGAAAGGAAGCCTGCTATGGAATCATGTTGATGAAGGCATAATGAAAATACATAATGCACATATTGGAAAATATATATTGGATGTAACCATATTAGAAATAGGAGTTAGAAAATATATGAAATCACAAAGAGAAATGTATGTATGCATGGCCTTCACTTCACTTCTTAAAGGCTGCAAAAATTAGAGGCCAGGGTCTAAAGAAAGGAATGTCTTGAGGCCTGGCATATTTCAAGAGGTTCCATTTTGGTACCAGGCACCTTATCATAAGATTAATGAGGTGGTCATCAAGAGGCTTCAGGAAGAACTTATCTTAAGATGGATGGAAGCTCTTGCTATAGGGCAGTGGTTCTCAACCTGGGGTCCCCAGATGTTTTGGCCTTCAGTTTCCAGAAATCCTAACAGCTGGTAAACTGGCTGGGATTTCTGGGAGTTGTAGGCCAAAACACCTGGGGACCCACAGGTTGAGAACCACTGCTATAGGGTCTAGTAGACATTCTGACGATGGTTCTCATTGCTGCGGAGCAGCTGCAGCAATTCCTAGACGACACAGCCGGACTAGATCCTTCCAGTCCGGCTTCCGTGCAGGGCATGGGACAGAGACTGTGCTGGTCTCCATCACAGATCGCCTTCGATGCCAGCTTGACCAGGGCGGGTCAGCACTGATTGTGTTATTGGATCTCACAGCAGCATTTGACACTGTCGACCACCATCTTTTGACCCACCGCCTTGCTGCTTTTGGAGTCAGGGGGAGAGCTCTAAATTGGCTGTCCTCCTTTCTTCACAACCGTGGACAGCGAGTGGAGAGGGGAGGCCTGGCCTCTGAGAGGTCCCCTCTCTCTCTCTGGTGGGGTTCCTCCTCAGGGGGCCATTCTCTCCCCTCTCGTGTTTAACATCTCTATGCGACCACTTGCTCAGCTGGTTTGAGGTTTTGGGCTTGAGTGTTATCAGTATGCCGATGACACTCAGCTGGTGCTGAAGATGGAAGGCCGACCGGACTCTGTACCCGATTCCTTCCCTCAGTGCCTGGAGGCTGTGACTGGATGGCTGCGTGCCAGCAGGTTGAGGGTGAATCCAGCAAAGACGGAGGAGATCCTATGGCTGGGTCGACCGGGCAGTGGGGACATCCATCTGCCCACCCTGGATGGTGAGGCACTACGCCTGTCATCATTGGTCAAGAGTCTGGGAGTCCTCTTGGACCCTCTGCTGACGATGGAGGCCCAGGTCTCTCCGCCGTGAGCAGAACCGCCGTGAGCAGAACGTGCCAGCAGGTTGAGGGTGAATCCAGCAAAGACGGAGGAGATCCTATGGCTGGGTCGACCGGGCAGTGGGGACATCCATCTGCCCACCCTGGATGGTGAGGCACTACGCCCGTCATCATTGGTAAAGAGTCTGGGAGTCCTCTTGGACCCTCTGCTGACGATGGAGGCCCAGGTCTCCGCCGTGAGCAGAACCGCCTTCTTTCACCTGCGGCAGGCTAGACGGCTGGCCCCCTCCCTGTCCAGGGACGACCTAGCTACGGTGATCCAGGCCACGGTCATCTCAAGACTGGACTACTGTAACGCCCTCTACATTGGCCTTCCTCTGTCGGTGATCCGGAAGCTCAAGTTGGTACAAAATGCAGCTGCTCGGCTTCTTGCGGGAATTCCGATGAGATGCCACATAACACCAATCTTACTACAGCTGCATTGGTTACCAATTGAGCACCGGATCACTTTCAAAGTGATGGTACTCACCTTGAAGGCCTTGCA